GAGAGAGATTTTTCCACTCAAGGGATGAAGGGATACTTGGCAGAATATGGCAGTATATTTGCTTGTCCCAACTGGGAATGCCTCTAGTATCTAGTGGGTCCCAGCCAAGGTGCTGCTAGAAAGCACATGACAGGCTCCACAACAACGGATTATCTGGCCCAAACGTCAGCAGCACAGTGGCACAGGCGGAACTCTGGCCTCGAGCAGCTCGGAAGAAACCTCCACCCTGCCTTTCCGAGGCCTGGCTGGACAGCACCTATCTAGAGAGGTGTGCCTGCCTGTGGGGCCTAGAAAATCCACTCCCCTGGGTTTGGGACTGTGCAGGGTCCACACCCAACGTGACCCCCACCTGCTTCCATGGTGGGCACGCCGTGACACACATAGCAGCAGGGGCCGCGGCGGCTCTCAGGAAGTGGGCGGCATGGACAGGTCTGTGTCCCCGCTGTGAGGTGCTGGTAGCAGTCCAGACGGATGCATGCCAGAGCCCAGCCCAGTGCCAACCTTTCTCCACATCCCTGAAGCCGACCTATAGGACTGCTAAGGGGCCGAGAGGGACAAGCTTGGGTTCTCACGTCCAGAGTGGTGTGCATTGCCCCGCTACCATCTTAGTCTTTGGGGGAAAAGTCTCCCCAGGGACCCAGCCCTCCAGAGACCCTAAGCTCACAGACATTCATGTTCTTTACACGGACACGTCCAGCCATGCTCTGGAGCAGTGACGATGAGCTTTTTGGAAACTGAGTGCCCAAACTGCAATCCAAAACCCATTTATTTATTGCCAAGTGCCAGGTTTTAGTTTTGAAAAAACAGCACGGCACGTTGGCTCGAGTGCTGACAGAGAATCTGTGTGCCTGGCGCGGCGCTCACAGGCTCACCGTCACAGCCCTGGGAAGCCCAGGCTTTTGTCCCAGTGAGGGGCTGGAGTGCACGGAACCCAAACCTTCCCTGGGGACTTCAGCTGGCAGGAACCTAGAAAGCTCACAGGGCCAGGACATCCCCACTTCCATTCAGGCTGGGCCTCACACTATCACCAACAGCAGAGGTCCCCAGAGCCCTCCTGAGGGGAGGGGAGGATCTGTCACTTATGTCACTGCTGGCAGCTGTTTCTCAGGCCTGACTTGAAACCCTTGTGCTGTAGCTGAAGTTCATGATGCCTGTCTCTCAGAAGCTAGAAGACACCTGGGGGCCACAGTTGTAAAAAGCAACAACCAGGAACCCAGAGAGTCCAGAATGGGCCAGGTAGCTCTGAGGAAGGGCTTTCTCCCTGCTGCCTTCTCTGACTCACTCAAGGAATCTTGTGTTGCGTCACCCAGAGTCAGTCCTCTGGGTGCCAAATGGGAAAGGATGTAATTGTCACATGCTACAGCACATTGCAGGACAGGTAAGAAGCAAAAGATGGTCTGGTCTGCCTGCCGAGAAATGTCCCTTCACACTTTCCTCTCACAAGAAAAAGGTGCAAGGACTGCTCTGCTGTGGCTCCCTGACCTGGGCAGATTCAGCCCTCGGGCTCTCCTCATGCAGCACACACACTGGAGAAGACACAGCTATGGAAACATGAAACAACTACCACCGGGGGGAAAGCACGGAAGGAAGGGAGCAAGGACAAAGGAGGCAGGAGTGTCACCATGTGGCCTCCAGGAGCCCCTCTGCAGTCCTGGGGCAGGTGAGGGGAGGTGGGGCCCCTGCTTTCCCAAGCTGAAGCACACTTCTCCACCGGGATGGTCCACTTGGACCTCAGAGGATAGGAGTGTCAGCAGGGTGCCCCGCAGTAAATGACCTGGATTACAACCTCTGACTCATACAAGCTAAACCTTTGGAGGACATGGGCTCAGTTGGCCCAAGTATAAACCTCAGCAGAGGTTAAGCTAGCTTGGTGGTCATGCTGGTTCCTTACATCCTCCCTGACCCTGACCCAGGCAGCCTTATGTGTTCAACACCCACTCCCCTTGGATGCTTCCCAAGCCAGGCCCTACCTTCCTGAGTGGCTCTGGTGGGGAGCCCCAGGGTAGCTTACCTTGCTCTGTGGCACAGGGCCCGGCTTGCTGCTGCTTGGAGGAGCCGTGGCGGGAGTGGACAGGAACATGCTTCGGAAGAGCCTGCGCTTGAGGCTGTTCTCCTGGGTCTTAGGGCTTGGGCTACCTTCCCCACCTGGCCTGCCTGAGGCTGAGCCCACCAGGCAGGACTGTGGCCGGGCCTCCTCGGAGCCGTGCTTAGCAGCCTTTACCCCACGCCGCCCTGTGGCCGTGGGGGGTGAGGAGCCAGGTGGGGAACTCTGCAGGCAGGCACCCAGCTGCAGGCAGCGCTGCGAGGCACCTTGGAACTCAGCAGGCCCCAGGGACTGTGCCTTGGTGGCCAGCCCATTGGGCAGGACCCGTGGGCTCTGTGGCTCGGGCCACGGCATCTGCCTGTGACCTGCTGGTGTGCCCCCATTGCAACTGAGGTAGAGACCGTGGGGGTCAGTGCGCTCAGACTGGGGGCTCTGGAGGTACATGTCTGGGTCAGTGGCCCAGAGCTCATCCCCTAGCAGCCCCAGGGACTGTGCCCGCCGCCGACTGGTGGGGCTGCGGCCACGCAGGGTGTTGGAGCTGGTGACTGACAACTTCTGGATGTCATTGAGCAGCCCTGAGATATAGCCATCCATGGGCACGGAGCTGCCCCGCACCACTGTCTGCAGGGGAAAGAGAAGAGACGCAGGTGAGCAGCCCCTTTGTGGGGATGGTCAGGGTCAAGGCCCCGAGACTCGGGAAGAGCACTTGTGGCCCTCCCTTGCAGTGCCAAGCACTCATTTCTTTGTCTTTCTGTCACCCCCAGAGCCTACAGTGGGTCAGGCCTGTGCTGGTGCAGTCCACAGGGATACAGAGAGGAGACCCTTGTCTCAGGGGAGGCAGGTGGGCACCAGAGGTTACACTCAAGCATGCCAAGTGGTGTGGTCAGCTGAGTTTTGGGAGTTGGGGTGAACAGGGGCAGAGGGCTCCCTTCTCCAGCTCTTCCTGTGGCCTTCAGAGACCTGCAGAGCCAACTGAAGAGCCCAGAAGCTGCCCCAACACACACTGGGCTTATGGCCTCCACACCCCGACAGGACCCCTGACCCTAACTCCCACCAGGCTCTTCCATCTATAGTCTGGACCCACACAGCTAAAGTCCCATGATCTGCAATGAAAAAACAAAAACCAAGAAAAAGAGAGGTGGTGGTGTATGCTGTAATCCCAGCACTTGAGAGGCTGAGGCAGGAGGATCACTATAAATATGAGGCCAGCCTGGGCTATGTAGTGTGTTCAGGGCCAGCCAGAACTACAGAGTAAGACCCTGTTGCAAAAAACAAAGAAAAAAACAACAAAAAAATTCCCCTGGTCAGGAAGAACCCTGGCTCTTTTGGGGCTATGGGTCTAAACAGTCCACAGAAGATACTTATACTAAAGATTATTTGTGTCATCTGAAGTTCGAGTTTAATCAGGCATCATGCATTATTATTTGCTAAATCCGGCATCCCCTCCACTATGCAAAGTGACACCCCAGGCTCCTCTTCCTGGGTCCTGATGAGCCCTAGGCAATGGAGGCAGCCGGCTCCTCCATACTGCTAGCTAGGTGGCTCCCCGGGGTGCCTGTGCGGCTTTGCCAGCAGCTTCCTGTGGAGTCGCAGATGAACCCCTTACCTTCATGGGCTGAAGCTGCACCCGAGTGATACGTGAAGGGTCCACCACGGGCTTGGGCCGTCGCAGTGTGTCCAGGATGTTCTGCCATTGTGGCGGGAGGCCCACGAACTTGCCCTCTTTGGGGTCAAAGGACGTGTGGACACGGTGTTGGAAGTTCTGTGGGGCTGAGATCTCAGGACGTTTCTTCTTTTTCTTGCGGAACATGGTGCCTGCAAAGGGACAGCAGAGCTGAGCTGTGGCCCAGGGACCGTGGGGTGGCTGCAGTAGCTGCTGGGCACCCGGCGTGGGGCTGCCTTCCTCCCTGCTCCAGCAGAGCCCCTCTGTCCCTGGCCTTGGGCTTCCTGTCTTGCTCATCTCCACTTCCTCAGGGAAGGGGCTGACTCTCGCAGAACGGTCTCAGAAGCAATAAACTGATGCAGGCTATAAACAAGGAAAGGAGGTGTCTGTCTTCTGTCTGTGCCACGTCTCCTGCCGAGGAGGCAGACTCTGGGGTGTGTTATTATAAAACTCAAAGCCCATTACAAATATCATTCATTGTCAAAGAAATTAAAAAAGGGGAAAGGAGGGAGGAAAGCTAGCAGACTCATTTTATGAAGCACGTATGACCTTGATTCTTCCACCAGATATGAAGAGTACAAGGAAGAAAAATTTGAACCAATTTCACTTATAACTATAAACATGCAAATCTTAAACAAAACTAGCAGATTGAATCCAGTGGTGTGTTAAAGAGGGTTTTCTTTGTTTATTATAATCAGCTTGGATTTGTTCCAGGATAACACAACAACAGAAAACCTGTTAATACCATACATGACATCAATAAAAAGCCAACCAGCTGATTCCGTCATGTTGCCCAGGCTGGGGCTGTGTATTGTAGGACCAGGGAGCCCCAAAGGGCCCTCAGGGCCACCAATACTTTGCCTCCATTCCCAGAAAGACACAAGCTGCTGGACAGCCTGGGTGTGGGCGTGGGGTGGCTATCTTAGGGGCACAGCTCTCCAGAGAAGGCAGAGATACCTCTCCCTTGGGGACCCCTCTCTAGTCACTGAATTCTGCACAAATCACCCCTGGTGGCCACTGCTTGCCTCACTGACTGGAGTTTGTCTAAGGTCCTCCTGAGCCCGGCAACAGCTAGGAGTGGCATGGGGTTGCAAAGAACAAATAACTAAACCCAAGAGAGGAAATCTGGAAGCCTGAGAGCTAAGGGGACTTCTAAAGGGCTGACCCAGTCTCACCTTGGGGAGTTAAGGGGCTAGTGGGCCTACAATCATATAGTGATAGACCCAGGGTCAGGGTGCGCGCTGAAATGCTTTTGGATCTGAAGTGGCTAAAACAGCTCCATTGGTTTTTATGTCATCCGAAGAGGCCACTTCCATGTTTCTTTTTGTTTTTGAGACAGAGTCTCACTATGTAGTTCAGGGTAGCTTTGAATTTACTTTGTAGCCCAGGATGGCCTCAAACTTTCAGCAATCCTCCTGCCTCAGCCTCCTGAGTGCTGGGATTATGGACATGCACCACCAAGCCTGACTCTCCACGTTTCTTTTGTTTTGAGACAGGGGTCTCAGGCTACCCAGGCTGGTCTCCAACTCCTAGGTTCAAGCAATCCTCCGGTCTCAGCCCCAGCTTGACCAGGGTCTTGATTTGAATCCCTGGATTACTCATCTAGCTGAAGATCTGGAGTGCAGGCCACTGCTTTTTCTCCTGGCTCCTGCTGTGGAAGCAGCATTTTGATGGTTGTTTCTGTAGGTTCTGGGGAAAATCGAAGGTCTGGGAGGCAGCAGGACTCACAAAGAAAAACGAGGGCCTGAACAGCTCGTTTCCCCACTGGCAACTCAAGTGTGAGTTAGTCTGTACCCAGCACACACCTGTGGGAATATCAGGGTCTTTTCTGTTCCTTGAGGTTCAAGAATCTCCGAAACACTTCCTAAAGGCAGAGCCACAGGTGCAGGGCCCCCCTGCAGAAAACGGACTTTGTGGTGAAACGCACCTGTCTGAGCTGCAGGTGGGTTGTAGGGAGTCTTGCACTGACTTGGAGACTTAGACAAGTTACCTAAATGATCCGAGCCTCTGTGTTCATCTGTCAGAGGGGTTCATGGGCGACAGCTCCGAGTGTATTCAGTAAGCAGACTCCCAGCAGAAGGCGGCTGTTTCTCTTGCTACATCACCCTTCTCTGCACGCTTGTCTCTAAGCTCAGGGCCTCCAGACGCTGGCACTACAGATGTGCACTACAATACCCAGCTTCAGCCTTTGCCTTCTGCTCTGGACAGATCTGCATGCAGCCGGTCTCCTCTCGCAGCCTCTGGGCAGACCCTCCAGCACTGGTTCGCTGACCTTCTCACCCTTCTCCCTAACTCTGCGAAGTGTTCCGGACGGGCAGAAACACCTAAAGCTACAGAAGGGCTGCTGCCTTTCCTCCCAGAACAACGCTCTCTCCAGCTTCCTCCACCGAGCTGAGCCCTTGGTTCTTGCTAAGGAAATGCACCGAGGGCAATCTTTAGCAAATGATCTGAGTGACTTGGGAGCCCCCTCCCAAGCCCATTCTAATGGGGATTCCAGAACCAGATCTTCCCAGAGCCACCAGGAAAGGCCTAGAGGCCTAGGGTCCCAGCAGCCAGCCATGAAGGCTGGCAGAATCCGTTAGGTGTGCTCAGCTTAAAAGAGAGGCTGCTTGGACCATGTGACACAGCAAGGCCAACATTGCCAGGGACGGCATGGCTGTGTAAACAAAACAATCCAGGAGACTCTTCATGCTCATTATTTGGATTAAATCAGTGAATTTCGAAGGCCCTCAATTCAAGGTCAACATTGTAAAAAGTTGAGCCGAACATGGTGGTACACAAGTGGAAACCCAGAACTTCGGAAGATGAGGCAGGAGGATCGCTGCATGTTTGAGGCCAGCCTGGGTTACATAGCAAGACTCTGTCTCAGAAATCCTTCCCCCTAATGGGCTGGACATTAAGCTCAGCGGCACAGCACCTGTCTGTCAAGCCTGAGGTCTCGAGTTCAATTCCCGGTACCAAAAAAAAAAAAAATCCTCCCTGCAAAAAACCCAGTTTTTTTTTTAAAAAGTCAATTGAATTTCTATGTACCAGTAACAAATCCAAAACGAAAAGATATCATTTACCAATTGACATTAAAAATATCAAATACATAGGAATAAACCTAAGGAAACATGAGCAAGATCTTCACATTGAAAAATACAAAACATTACTAAAGATATGAAAGAATGTTCACAGATTGGAAGATTTAATACTGTGAAGATGTCAATTACTCCCAAATTAACCTACAGATTTATTTCAGTCTCAGCATATTTCTTCTGGCAGAAATTGACACACTGATTCTAAAATGTACAGAGAAAACAGAGATCCAGGAATAGCCAAGGCAATCTTAGAGAACGAAGTTGGAAGATTATACTAAATATATATCAAGATGTATTATAAAGCTACCATAGTTAATGTAGTATAGAACTGTCACAAGGATTGACAAATAGACCAATGGAGCAGAAGAGAGAATCCAGAAATAGACCCACTCATCTTCGGTCACTTGATTTATGACAAAGGTGACACTGCAGTGTGATGCAGAATGGATGATCTTTTCAACAAATGTAGCTAAAGCAATTAGCTATCCATGTGGGGAAAGATGAAGCCTCAAAAATGAGTTCAGGTCGTATCCCCAAAGAAACAGGAGATAGATCATGACCTACATGCGAAAGGTGAAATATTAAAGCCGGTAGCAGGAGGGGAAGCCTAGTCTGGCCCCGTCTGGTTGCCACTGACTACCATGGGTCCAAGTGTGGTGGGCTTTTCTGCTACCCCTGAGCTGCTGGGTCCAAACCTGTCTACACCCAGGGGCCCCGGAAACAAATGAAATATCCAGGTTTTCTTTGTCTAAAGCAGAATTCTCGATGGTATAATTTTGGGGTAGGGGACTATTACTAAAGATCTGACCTATACTAATGAGTCAACGCAGCAGGAAGACAATAAATATCTGGAAGAAATAAACAAAATAATTGCTACATGTTTGGCCAGTAGGGCTACAGGTGACTTCCTTCCACACCATCTATCTACTTTCTAGATTTTCCTTAAAGTATTTTTAAATAAAGAGTGATCCCTGAAGACTGTCTAAGGCACGAATGTCCCTTGTTCGGGGCACACTCAGAGCGTGAGGGCTCTGTCAGAAGCCCTCAACTTGCCATTTCCAAGGCTCCCCAGTTTCCAAGGCCCGTGGTTACTTCATTTGCTCTGAGACTGTGACATTCAATCAAATCATCCCACGCCAGCCTTTAAGCTGTCAACCCCAAGATCTCCTCTTCTGCATCCACACCCCACTCACAGAGCCAAGGAGCGGTCTGCCAAGACACCTCGAGGAGCGAGAGTGTAGGAGAAGCACCCGCATTTCCTCCTGTCCGCCTGAAGGCAATGGTGTGGGGCTCAGACCTAACGCAGTGATGGCAGAGCTGGAGGAAGGGTAGGCTCAGGTGGCCTCAGGCTCCTGCCTGACACTTTGCCTTCACCCAAGGGAGGGAGACTGAGGTTGGGCCTTGGGCTAGAAACAATTGTGTTTGAGAAATGCTTTGAACTTTGCTTTTTTGTGTGACTGCAGATTCGACCTTCCAGGGGAGGCTGGTGCATGACTGGGGCAGGGGCTGCCTAGTTCTGGGAGGAAGGAGTCCACCCCCACCAGTTTGGCACAGATCCTGCTGTGGCTGCTTCCTGGAACCTGGCAGGGGGGAACTGGGCAGTTCCTGGCAGAGCTTTCCAGAGGAAATGCAGTCACACCTGGCAAGCCCAAGCTAGGTGGAGAGTTCAGGGAGCCACGGGCCTGGGGTCACGGAAGGGTGAGACTGTGGTGTCGGAGGAGACTCAGAGACAGAAAGGATGGTAGCTTTTCTTGAACACCTGTTAAGGGCTAGCCATTTCCAAGGATCAGCAGTCCTGAGGAGCAGGAATTATCCACAAATCTGGATGAGGCTCAAAGAGCCTATAACTTGATCTGGATCACAGAATCAGGAACGACTGAGTTGGGGCCTGAACCTGGATCTGATCCTGAAGCCCCCACTCCATCCTTCCACCCACCTGACGTGGGGCAAACTCACAGGAGCTATAAGCAGTGGGGGAGATATGGCAGCTCCTGCCACCCCGTTTGCCAAGTCCTTCTGTGGGCTCAGGTGAAGCCCAGGAGGACCCAGGCTACTGCCCTATTTTTAGGGCGAGCCTTACCTGGTATGGAACCAGGGGTTGTTTGCCCTGAAAAGAGTAGGTACAATGTTACAAAGAGGTCATGGTGAGGGCGTTAGTGGTGAAGGCCTGGCATATGTGAAAAGCAGAGCCCTCTGAAGGGGAACCCCGAGGCTTGGCCCCAGCAGTGGTGGGCAAGGTCGGTGGCTACCGCTCTACTGCAACAAGGAAGAACCTGGCTTGGCTGCTCTGGTGCCCACATCAGGGATGAGGAAGCATCTGCAGTGCGGTGAGTCTCCCTCTTCAACTGTTTCTCCTCTGGAGGGAGAAAACATCTATGTGCCAGGGCCTGGGACACTAGGGGCACCAAAGCTATCGGGCATCACAGAGCCAGGGCAGAGCTACACACACTAAAGTCTGCGTTTATGCCTCTGAGCAGCTTGGACATCCAAATAAGACTTGCCATTCTGGGCAGCCCTCTGGGAATGCATCTGCTCCAAACATGCTCTGGGTTTGCAGAATTCCTCTTTGGGAATCACCTTTGGGAACTGCCTTGAACACTGGCAGCTGTTCTCACAGCCCATCACCCCTGCCTTGTCCCAGGAGGACAGTGTTCGACGTGGTTGTCTTCTTCACCCTCTGGACCCAGCTTTGAGTGAGTCTGGGTTGTTTTTACACACTGAATCTACTGCAAGGAGAGGATGCTTAGCCCATAAAAAGGATTCGGAAGAATGCACCGAAGTGGGAAATGTGGCTTCCAGAAAGTGAATCTGGGGGGGTCTACAGCTCCTTTCAAGCGGGCAAGATTTGGCCAGCTTCATAAGTTCTGGGATGTTGGTAAAGCATTTGTTAGGAACGAGGTTGGTGGGATTCCCCGCCATTTCCAGGCAACTGGGAAGAGAGGAGGCAGCTGCATCCTGGGCCAGCTCCCAGTTCTCAAGCAGCTCGAGGTGCCAGGGAGCCAGAGTGGGGGAGCCACAGCCCGGCTTCCTCCAAGAGAGGCTCAGGGCCTGTTTATCATGGGCTCAGTGAGACCTCTGGGCTTGTGGTCTTGGCCTGCTCTCCTTCTCTAGGCCTCGGCATGTCTGGTGGTGACAAGATGCTGGACCCTTTTGCTTTGGCCAGCCTCTGCAGGCACAGACAGCATGCTCTTTAGCACGTTCTTGCTCAGAAGTTCTAGGTATTAATAATCATCCCTCAGAGAGGACCTAGTGTCAATAACAGGCTCTGGACTGAGCATGTCACATATGTGATCTCCTGCCCACAAGTCTAACTGAGCACCATTACTGTCTCTAGCACACAGGCAAGGAACCCAGGGGTCACACAGACTAAGTGACTTGCCCAAGAAGTCTCATAGCAGCAAAAAAGGGCAGAGTCTGACCCAGACACCAAGGTGAACTTGGCTGCAGTCAGCCATGAGCACCCACCTCTCCATCCTGTGTCATTCTCAGGCCCACCCGGGCTACCCTGGGGAAGGGCTTATCCTAGACTCATAGACCCAGAGGCAAGCCACAGAACTTGGACCAAGATCCTGGTTACGGCCACTATCTAGCTCCAGTGACCTGCAGTGGACTTGCTCCCTTTCAAAGGGGGGGTCCCAACACCCCTAGATCTGCAGCAGGGTTGCCTAACCTCTCTGTAGCCCTCGTTAGGATCTGACACACACATACACACTTCTGTAAGGAGAGATGGCTCTCCCTGGCCCCTGGTAAGAATTTCTGTGAACAGAAGACTAAATTTCATTGGAATAGTCTCATTTGCTGGAAAGATTTTTCTCAACCTTTATTTCCTGGAGTTCAGTTGAATATAACAATTACATTATTCATTTCTTTACTCAAAAACATTTATTACATACCTGTTCTATTCAGGGCTCTGGGGACCATGGTAAACAAGACAAGATCCTCTCCCTCATGCAGGTCAGTTTGCTTCTTCCAAGTAGGGGTTCGACAGACCAGCCTGCACCGCCCAGGCAGCAGGGGAGGCGCCCTCCACCAAGGCCTGGCCTCTGCCCGCCCATTTTTGTACCTCTGCAGCATATTCCTGACAGGAGCCTTCACACCTGCTCCAATGTGCTCGGCCTGTCCCCGGGCCCTGCCTTCTGTCCCCTTCGTCCTCTTGCTGCCAATCTTGGTGTAGAGCGAATTCTGCTTCTCCTCATCCCCTACCAGGGTCCAGGTCTGCCATCTGCTCTTCATCCAGTATAAGGGGCAAGACAGGCAGCCCCCCGGCACCCTATCATGGCCCCCTAAAATGCAGCAGGGCAATGCCATTTCACCTCCTTTTCTGTCCAGTTGCCGCCTGCAGGGCAGATGATCTTGGCCCCAGACAGGATAGGTCATTCACGGTACCAAGTGTGGAGAGTCCTCAGGAGGCTGAGTTGCACCCAGAGGTTCTGCTGTCCCATTTGAGTGGCCCAGGGAGATGTGGCATATGCCAGGGCAGAAAGCAGTGTGCAGGTAACAAGCCTCATGCCTGGTCCCCTAACCCCTTGTCACCATCCCCACACCACAGGCCCCAGTGAATCCCCAAGGGAGAGATAACGGGCTGTTATTTAAAAGAATCCAATCTCATGCAGTGGCTATGACAACACTCCAGCTGAATGAGGAGCTGGAGAGCCAGGCTGGCCAGCCAAGGAGGTCAATATTGACTCAGGCTGCCTCTCGGCCCAGCTCCAGCCTGCTTGGACAGTGCTGCATCTGCGCCTGACCAGCCCCTGACCTCGCTTACTCTATCCCCTTCCACTCCCGGGGCACGGTGTTGCCTTTCCTCGCCATGGGACGACCTGAAGCATGACATTCCCTGGTGGGCTGCAGCCAGGGCCCTCTCCCTATCTCAGAGTCCAGTGGCCTCCACACACAGAAGCCTGAGTCCTCTGCACAGAGCTCTGAATGTTGAGCCAGAAGAACATCTACAGCCCCTACTCACATGAGGGCCCTGTGCTTTTACAGCCTTTAACTTTTCATGTCTCTCTTTTGTTTATCTCCTTGCTTTAGGCTCACAAAACCACTGTGAGACACGCCAAGCCTACTGGCCCTATTTTAAAGATGGTAGACAAGAGACGGCCAGAAAGGGAAGAGACACATAGAAAGTGCCTACACCAAATACTGGGTGCTTTTTATTAGTGCATCTAATAGTTAACAGTAGATATTACAGGCTCTATTTTACAGACAAAGAAACCAACATTGGCTGGGGATATAGCTCAGTGGCATAAGCGCTTGCCTGGCAAGCCTGAGGTCATGAGTTTGATTCCCGGTACCAAACAAACAAACAAACAACATTTTATAGATGAAGCAACTGTTGAAGATGGTAAGCGTGGAGCTGGGATGCACAGTCCCTGACTATAAGCTCCAATGTCATCCACCATGCCCAGTATCCAGAGACGTCAAATGGCCAGCCCTACATCACACAGTCGCTTGGAGATGAAACAAAACTGACAGCTTCTGTCCAAAGACTCCCCCTGCCCCAGGCAGCAGTATGCTCAGGCTCGCCATGAACACGTGCATACATGTGACGAGTACACAGGGTGCTGCTGTTTCTGCCATTAAATCTGGATCCATGTTAGAAATGGCCCCTTCCCTGTGCCTCAGACCCCTGAATTAGGGTCTCTCACCACTCAGCCTCCTTGGACTCTCTGCCTTTACTTTACTCCTATTGTTTCGTTCCAACATCTTCCAACATCATTTTACCAACTAGCCAGACCATTCCCAAAGTCCTCTAAGGGAGGAGGGCTCAGGGTAGCTTAACCTTTTCCAACCAGAGGTTGGTAAGTCTGCCTCCATAACTACCCTGTGAGGAGAGCCTCTCTGTCCTTGGTTACAGATGACATTTAAAAGTTTGCAGAGAAGTAAAACAACTTGCTTACGGAGTCAAAGGCGAAGTCGGGATTCAAACCCAGCTCTTCCTGGTTGCAAATGTGTTCTTGGCCAATTGTCCTACACATGGCCTGAGAACTCACAGCATGTCAATATACGCTGCATGAACCACAAAAATGACCACAGACACAGAATGGAGCCTCTGCCCCACCCTGCACTAGAAAAACAAGTCAGAGAAGCTTAAGAAAACTACCACAGATAAGGCAGGATACAGAGAAAGCAGCCTTTCCCCTGGGATCCCTCCAGGTTTTAGCCCTTGCTGCTCCTGGCAGCTACACCACGTGTGGAACGCCACTCGGGGCGTGAGAAGGTCTAGGGCAAGGTTAGCAGGTCTGGGCACGTGTAGCCTGGGTGACATTGCCTTGCCCAAGTCAGGCTTCAGCCCAGATGACGGTCAGAGGCTGGGCAAGGCCCAAGGCAGGATGTCTGAAGCTCTACTGACCTGCACTGGGGCTGAGGGTACAAGTGCCTTCGCCGGCTCCACTAAGGATTGAGAAACAGCACGAAGAGCGGCCATGGGGCTGCCTCACAGTGCCGGGAGGGAGGCAAGCCAGGAGGGTCATCTGCCTGTCCACAGTCCCTCAGCAAGCTCTGGAGGTCCCTCACTCACCTCTGGGCCGCTTTCTTCGCCTCCTCTTCCTCAAGTCTCCTCCTTTCGGTGGTCAGCTCTCTTAGGCACAGAGGAGCAGGAGGACCAAGGTGCCTCCCGGGCCGGTCCTTCGCAGGCCTAGGCAGAAACAGCAGAAATACATTGCTACAGATGTAGTAAGTGTCCTCACGGAGTCTGCGACTGGCTGGAGTCCAGGGGGTTGGGAACCGCCCCGCGCTCGTGTCTGGCTGAGCGACCCCGTTGCAGAGGCCGAGCAGCGGGCGCAGCGTGCCCGGGTCGGAGCCTCCCCAGCCGGCCACGGCCACCGCGCCCCTGCGCCCGGCGG